AGTTGAGAGTACATTTTGACCTTTCCTGTGATTTGATTTTTACACGTCGGCCAAATGAAATTTTTGCTGAGAGTGACAACTAAGCAGCTAACATTATAGACTTTGGGGACTTGTTTTCCAAAGCGGATAATTTCTCTATGCATTGGTTTCTTTCTACGATGCTTCATGAAGACCAGACTTTCGATTGCTATGCGTTTATATTCATTTTACAAACTTGCACCATGTTTTAATCATGTGCATCTTTCCTTACATTCTCTCAGCGGGCATAGTTGATCATTCGAGATTTGGACAGAAGCGTTGAATCATCAGCCTAACAGGTATATATACAGTTATTGTTCTCATTGAAGTCAGAAAATCGTATAAGACTGGAATAATGGTAATTAATAATAGTTCTAGTAGCAAGCCTTTTAAGTATGTCTAGTAGCAGTGCATGTTAGCCAAGAAGACCAGATCTTACATGTTTAACCTGATTTCGGTTAGGAGCTTCCCGTACATATACTATCTGAACGCCTTCAAAAGAATATTCAGACTGTCAGTAGAGGTTTCAAATAGGCTTAAGATTAACAATAGACAGGGGATATATGTTAAGTATATTAGTGGAATAGTCTCTCTTTAAGTTTCTTTATAAGCTGGTCATCTGGCTTAAGGCATTCATGATACCTGTAACAGAAGTGTAATCCGACCCAACTATAGCATGGCCATGTGTAATCCCCCTACAGTTACTATATTTAGTTGGTGTAGGTGTATCATTTATATTCACCTGAGTTCTGGTCCTAGAGGACAGAGAGAGATTCATGTGAGTGATTTCTAAAAGAACGGAACGTCCAGTATATCAGGTCTGAAGCCTTAATTTCTTGGACTGTAAATTAGCTCATTTAGGTTATGCTCTAAATAAAGCAATTAATAATGATATAATGTACTACACCACCGAAATTCGTGATGTTACAACCACAGTCATAATGTTTCGGGTTAACTCCTCTTCAAGGAAAGTGGGATTTGATTATCAAACAACTCTTTAAGGTAAGCACCTGTAATCTTGTTATCTGAGGTATATAAACACAACAGGATATGGTATTTACCTTGTTCAATGAATTCATCGAAATCTTCGAAGCTTCAAAATCTTGCATTATGTAACAGCTAATGAAACAATACGACAGCATGCGCGTAATAAATATAGCTAAATTATCTCCTATGTATCTTAATCTGTAGCAGCTGTAGAAGTAGTAATTTATAATACTAAGACTGGCAAGACTAATATCGATATCGTTGGTTGATCATAAATCGTGAAATTTTGATTTTTATTAGCGAAGTTCTGCACATTCTATATCAACACTTTAATTGGAAAGCTGCTGTTTCTAGAGAAACTAGCCATGTTCCACAATCCTGTTGTTTACTGTTGTACCTTCTGAAAAGAATTTCAAACGTAGCTTAGTTTCTGTGTCTATTAGCATAGTACAAATGCCAGACAGAACATTTAAAACTTGTTTAGCATCTACACATTTTGCAGTAAGCTGTTGTTTGTAAACGATTTGGTTACATCAACGAAAGATCTGTTAGTGACAATCCAATTGAATTAGAAGGAATCTTCATCGAATATATTATGTTATGTTTACTGGAAAAGGAACAACTATAGAATGGCCATGTGTAATCTCCCTACAGTTACTATATTTATTTGGTGTAGGTGTATCATTAATATTCTCTTGACTCATGTACTTTCTCATGACTTTTATATCTTTCATACCGCTAAGAAGACTTCTGATCCACGGGTGAATGCCGCACGAAATTTGAGCCTCATCCTAGCAAACAGAATCATAATATCTATCCAAATCATATACCAAAGCCTAGACTCGAGATGGCGGGCCAGACAGTATCTGATGCTATGTTGAACCGATGCATTTTACAAAAAAGTATTACAATCCTTAACTTTACGTGTGTTACAAAGAAGTACGTCCATTGCATTAGTACAGTACTACATATCACATGCAAGCATATAATAAATACATTAAGCATTCACATCTATAAAAGTGTATTTAAAATTCACATGAATCAAGAACATAATGAGAGTGCACACAGACACATACTTTAGTATACAGAGTTGAACTCAAGTCAGCGAACGAGTAATACATTTCACTGCAACTTATTCCATCCAAACATACCTAAGGACACCCACGTATGTGAATTTAATTTATTAGACATACTTACTTTAAAAGTATATAATACATACTTATGAATATACTATGTACATACATTCTAAATTACTGTAAAAATAAATAAATACACATAAATATAGCAGACCCACACATTCTACATTGCAGTAAAAAATACATACATATAACATAATTATACTGCACATGCACATTATGTATAGTAAGAAAAAGAATAGAATAAAAGTGGAAATCATCTGAATTGAAATGACATACTTATAATCGTATAATGAAGTTATATAAAGGAAAGATAATGACTACCAAGTGCTGAAACATATGTGAGTAATAGAAAATAGTGGAGCAGCAAAACCGTTCGCAGCATAGCAATGACAGTACTATTCATGAAAGGGTTCCATGGTCAGTTGCATAAGCCCTTGGTAAAATTGGAAAACCCAAACAAACTGGAAAAAGTACTGATGGACTGTGCTATTTTCATCTGAGCTTTGAAACTGTTTTCGTCCCCATGCCCAAACGTGAGTGTCTGTGGTTTTCTTGAAGTGAACAGAGCTTGTGTAAGGACAGTCAGAGATAAAGTAATGAGGGCTGCCGATGGCTGCGCAACGACACTGGTCACTATGTCCCCGCAGCATATGTAGCGGAGGATGTCATCAAGTATGTCCAAACGGGATGGAAGGCCTAACACCGTCCATCACCTTCGAATTTTGTGTCATCATATTGACCTTCATCTGCCTTTGTAATATTAAACTTTGTAGGATCACCAACATCAGGTTGATCCCCATCTGCCTTAGTAGGAATCAACCTTAATAGGCAAATGAAATAAGTATTAGATGTTGAATATAGATCCGAAGTGGTCATTTTCCCCCCTTGCCGACCTTAAGGTTTATGTTTTCTAGAAGTTGTTTCCTATTACTCTCATATCTAGAAACTTCTTGACAATTCTATGTTTGTCAGATCTGAATGCTTTAATATCTTATTCGTTATATGATTTCATCTTGGCCTTGTAGTCTCGGGACTGACGCTAGAACATGTGCATCAGATATTTAGAATTAAGGAAGATACTGATCAGTAAGAATTTAAAAGTCACAGAAAATGCACTAGCGGAGGATCTGTGTGATCTTTAAAGTTTCCATCATCCAGTACCTTGAGAAGTGACTACTACTGTGTTTGATAACTACTGCAAGTAATTTTGAGTAGCGCTTCGAAAACTGTAATTATCCTTGTGAAACAATCATTTCTGCATCATCATTTATTATCATAGGATTCTTTTATAGCGGAGTTAAGGGATTGGTCATCTTAATAGCAGCGTTTTGGACTGCAATTGGAATTTCCGAAACTTGAGCACAAGTTTATGGCTTCAGAAATTTCCTTTGCTTTTTGGCAGGTTTTCCTGTGTCGGATTTTCTTCTTATTTTTCTTGTTCTTGACAGAAACAGAATTCTCTGACTTATTAAATGTATCAGCAAGGTTACTATTTCCATATAGAATTGTATCAGCTGTATTTCTATATATAATTGAGATTTTGGCGTAGTGTTGCGAGGCTGTTTCCCTTTGACTTGCATATTATTATAAGTTTGAAAATTGTATCATTCGATGTTTTTACGTGAATGAATTCAACCGACTTTCAGCGTTACTGCTTCGAGCAGTTTTTTTCGTTGAATAAGTTTAAAGCTGAATTCAAGTTCTGAACTCAATGCTTGCACCAAAACGTTTTTCCATTTCCGGTCGTACTATGGAATCGGATGTACTATGGTCGTACTATGGAACTATGAAGCTAGCCTAAGACTGAGCGAAAAGGAATAAGGAAAAAAAAAACGGGCGTAGGTATATATGAGGGTACCAACATCTTCGAAGTGGTCTCCAAAACTTCATGCCCACCTTCATATTCGTTTACCAGAGTCAATTACACTCGTTAGAAAAATTTTAACGGACAAAGACACAATAAATGAGTTAATAATAAATAACGACATACAAATGTATAATTTACATAAGCATTTGTCGTTTCTTTTTAATGCAGGAGTTTTTCGAATATTCTACAAATTATTATTTGAGAAATCATATTTTTATTAGTTTTAATAAAAATAAAATCAGTACATAGTTAGAACTGATTGAAGATGAAGCTTATATTTTGAAAGTTCCTAAAGATCTAGCAGAAATTATTCTTGTATGAGAAGTCATTCGTCACTCTCATGTTTTGCGTGAGCATTCATCATCACAATGATGTCTACAGCCTCAAAAGGAAATGATTTCAATTTAATTTTAAAGCATTTTAATGAACCTTTGTTAGTTTAACCTTATATAATTTTCCATAAGTAATTTTTAAAGGATTTTTTTACGTATTTACTTCAAAACGCATAAGAATAATATGTTTCGGATAGGATTAAGGCTATAAAAATTTAAACATCAACATAAATTTTTGATTAGGCGTTTTATTTTGTGAAAAAAATTTAATTTTTCCTTTATTTTATGAAATACTTGAATCTTGGAGAATCAAAGATTGCAGAATCTTGAAAAATCCCCATTTTAGCATTGTAAAAAAAAATAGACATTTGGAAGCTAACTATATTTTAAATTCTCGTTAAGTAATTAAACTTTGATGCAAATACAAATTGAATGATCAACTATAATCTAATCATACTAAGTAGTTCATAATAGTTCAGAAATGAGAATGAATTCCTGAATTTTAATTACAAAACTATCTACCATACATTCATCACTGTAGATATAGCTATAGACTTTTATCAGGTTTCACAATAATCTTTCAAATACCACATTTGATAACGGAACTTTCAACGTGAAAGCTTATAAAAGCCGTTGCTTAGATAAAGTTTTCAATTCGCGAATAGATACTAAAAGCACTTGAAGACTTTTTTGTGACAAGCCCATATACAAGGTCTCATCAAATCTGTGTAAATTTGCCCCATTTAGGTAAGATACAAATTTTGGAAAATTAAACGTAGATTCAAACGGATATTATTAATTATTCTAGAATTGAGAATGGATTACTCTTTTACCATTAAATTATTGCTGCATTTTCTGCAAGATACTCTCATATGGAACATTGCGCGAAAAAAGCAAACCGCTATCTCTAGGAGACGTTTAGGCAAGACTTTCATTTAACGAGGACGGATCCATTTTATTGCTACTTTGTTTTGGTAATTACTGTAAAACAGCTAAAACTAAATTTGGGTATTCTTCATTGTTTAATTTTTTAGAGGAAATGAAAACTACATGTACTGCAACTTCTTCAAAATCTTTCGGAATTATTAGAGCTCGAGTTATTGTGCACGTTCTTCTTCAAGAGTAAAACATCAATACATTCTATGGTAAAGGGAAACAAAGATAGAAGGATTGCCATTAGAAACAGTCTTCTGAATTTGAACAAGAAAATTATTTTTTTGTTAAACCTTTTACTTTAAAACTAACGTAGGCTTTTAAAATAGAGGATAAATACGCCAAATTGAAACATAAACTCAGCAAAGGATTTTATGTGACGCCTGCTTTGCGTTACAAAATCATTAAGGAGTGGTGAAACTAGCATATTTAACGTTGTGAGTATAAAAGAGCCTTTTATATCAACACAGTTGAATATGCTTTCTCTGTAGACTTATTCTCGGAAATGCACATCAGGAAATTTTTATAAATCAAATCATTCTTTTACTTCCACCAAAATAAGTTTCCGTTAAATTTCAGGTCTATAGGTAATTAGAAAATTTTTCTATGATACATAGCAAAATAGAACATTTTTTGAGGGGAAAAAATTGCCAAGTAAGTTATTCACTTAAAAAAAGAGCTAGTTTTAGGTACGAGATGAGTAGAGAATATGCATGTGTTTCATTAGATATGAGAACAGCAGTTTGAGATAAAATTTATCAAACCATTTATAAAAGCGTATTGTGCGAAACAGCCATTTCTGCCCTTTTTAATGGGCGGATCCCTGTGTTGATGCTTATATGAAGCTGCAGTTTATATATTTCTGATTTCAAGAAAGACGAAAGTAGAGTAATTTTCTAAAAATAATGAATTATAGAATTTAAAAATATAATAATCTTTAAAACGTTTTCAAAAGATTTTCGGGTTCAAATTCTCCTTTTAGTGGAATTAATATATTTGATTTTATAACTGTCATTAAAATCCACATTTAGTGTACACTTAAATATTTTGCGACTTTTAAAAACGATTGTGATAAAATGTTACTTTTTAATTTACTAGAAATAAAACAAATATCCATTAATATTTCGCTAAGTTTGAGAACTAAAATTCTGTTATTATAAGAATTTATGCTTAAAATGTTTCAGAAAAATTTGAATAAATATTATTAAAGATCCGGTACACCAGGCTTTACCTCAGTATATTTATAGAAAATTGGTTTGGCAGTTTAATTCATAAACAGTCTTCATAAAATTACAGCCTTTCTAAACAATAATTATAAAGAACCTAATATGAATAAAATTCTATTTCAAATAATCTTTACACTTTACTGTATTTATTTCTGAATTTAATACTTCAAAAAGCCTCCTGAATTTGATTCCAATGGAATTAATGAATAGTTTTCTAGTATTAAATTTTACATGATTAAAGACAACATAAATTAAGAATATATTAAATATTATACTGCTCTTAGTTTTAACATTTTTGGAATCCTCTTCCCAATTTAAAAGCAATTTTCACAAGGTGAATTTCGTAAATGTTTTGGTAAAAGGAAAGATGATAGCTAAAGATTGGAGTAACATTACCGGCCATTTTTTTTTTCCAAAGTATCATATAAACTATGGCTGTTGAATTGAGATAAATAAATAGTGCTAATTTAGAAAAGCGGCATTAGTGCCCTCAAAATGAAAGCTATCTGTTAAAAGTTATCTAAGCGTTCGCTTTTATAACTGAAATTGAATTTCTTGCACAAATTTTATTCTAATATAATATAGTGTTTCACTGTTGTGGAGTTTCCATAATTTTGCCGATTAAAAGTTTCACAACTTTTCAAGTTCTGCTTCCTTAAGTAGTTATTCAAAATTTCATTGTTGCTTGAAATAATAGTAAATTCTATAGCCAATCTCTTCATAAATTAAAGATAATATGTTCTGCTCTTTGTTCTGTGCTTAATCACAGAAAAATAAGATCAGAAATTATGTATATTTTTAAAATTTATTTTTATTGTCCTATGATGTTGTTTTAATGCTATTGTTAATGCTGTTGTTAGGTTTAAAAAATCGGTACGCATTAATGCATTAAACTTTCATATAAAATTTTAAGGAATTTTATATGAAAAATTAAGAGTTCAACTTGTAAAAAATTCCTGTAACAAAAAATATCATTCCTTTAATCAAATTAAATCAAATTTTATTTAATCAAATTAAGCTAGAAAAAATATTAAATATATATCTATAGATAGATAGATATTTTAAATAATCTTTGTATTCGTGTTTTGATTTAACTTTTATGAAAAGAAATTGCCACATAACTGAATGCAAAAAGTAAAATTATTGAACCATAAAAAACCTTAATAAATTTTTTCAGATGTTATTCGATGATAAATTTTCCAATTTAATAGTCAGAAAACTAAAGTTATCAGCTAAATTTCTTAGAATAATTGAAATGTTGAAGAATTTTAAGCCATTTAACATTAAACAATTTCTCAACTGATTATAAGTAAATAAATACGTTTACAGTTAAATAAATCAAATGGTAAATTTCAATTTGTAAACTAAACGAAAATTTTAATTTATCAACTAAACGAAAATTTTGAAGAAATACAAATCCTGACTACCTGAAAAAATAACAAAAATTAGTTTTTAAACTTCGAATTCAAAATTTCCTTTTGAAAACAAGAGAAAACAGTATTCAACAAAAAAAATTTAATATTTGTTATTAAATAAAATAGTACTGCTTTTAAAAACTAGGAAAAGGCGTTCTAAGATCCTTTCTAAGAAACTTTAAGAAACACTGAGAGAAAGATGTTCCCCAAAACTAAAATGTTTGTAACTTAAAAAAGCAGCAAAAGTTGTTTCAGAAATCACGAACCAGGAAACCTCGTTCTTACTGTATAAGTTCGAGCTTACTGTTTAACAAACCTAAGTATATATATATATATATATATATATATATATATATATATATTTTTTTTTTTTTTTTTTTTGACAATTAGAAAAAAATGTACTAATTTTTAGGTAAAAGTTGCAAGAGTATCGAAATTTTATACAGTTGTTCAGCAAAACAAAAAAAAAAAAAAAAAAAAAAAAAAAAGAATTCTTTTTTCAGTTCTTTCTTTAACAAAAAAAAAAAAAAAAAAGGGGGGGAAGAAAAAATTTTTATATTTATAGGCCTTCTATTTTACTTCATTAAGGTATTATTAAGCTACGTGTTAATAATTTTATACAAAAATATCTTTTTTGAAAAGTTTTGAGAAAATATGAAGAAAATAATATGTTTAAAAAGCGAATAATTAAAATTTACCTTAAAATATTTGAAATGTGTTTAGCGCTGTAAAATGAAAAGTGTTTCGCATCTAATGTATATTTTTTTGCATTTTGACCAGTAGATTTGACATTGACCCTCCCCCCCTCCCAGCGTATCTTTTTGTGACAGATATTACTGTATTATAATCGCTTCATATTTAGATTGCTACAAACTTGAATTGCTTGTATTATTTGAGATTCATAAAATAAAGCATTTAAAAAATAAAACAGTGTTGAAAGTAATAAAATACCAAATTCATGGTATTTTATTACTTTCAGCAACACATAAATGGATTCATTCTCTTTCGATAGATTTTTTAAAGCTTTGATCTACAGTAAAATCTAGTATATTGCGAGAGAAATGCAGCAGAAATATGAATGAAAAAGGAGAACTCGTTTTCAAAGAAAGTACAGTTTTCGGCTTTCTGCGTTTCCATTTATAAGACGGTGCACTAGGATAGCATGAGGAAATTTCCTTGTTAACATAGCACAGGGAACATAACTTATTAGCATAACAATGGCCCAAAAAAAAAAAAAAAATCTGAAAGGTTTCAGATTTTAAATTACGTCCAAAGGGACGTTTTTTTAATATTTTATCTATTACTTTTATTTATTAAATATCATATTCTTCGTACTTAAACCACAAAATTCATTTCAAGAGCAATATCGCAAAATAATTTTAAATTGAGCATATCTTTAGAATTTCCGATACAGAGTCTCGCGCGTTGGAGATAAAAATGTTTTTTCTGTACAACGATGCCGTTGCTGTGTTTGAAATCCTTGAGTTTGTTAATCAAAAATTCGTTAAAGTTTTTCAAAATATGAAATCGATAATAAAGCAAATTCCAAATTTCAAATATGGGCTTCCAAATGCCCATATTCGCAGTAGGATTACGTCATTCAAAATTAGATGGCTCTATCATTTTATCACAATGCGAGAAATGTACATACAGTTATGCAGATTTTTCATTATTTAATTTCTTCAAATATAATGCAGGACTCTAATCTCTGGCATCAGTTTGAAAAGTGAAACGGATATTTATAGTGAATCAACGCAAAATCGCAAAACGAAAACAATAGTTCTTCATGGACAAAATCCCTTTGGACTAATGAATGAGTAACTTGACTAACAAATAAAAATAAAGTGATTAACTTGACATGAATCAAACGATTAAATGTTTGAAATACTTCCTGGAAAATTCATTTTTTCATAAACAAAAATAATCTGTTCAATAAAAATAAGCATTGTAAAAATGCAAAAAAGTAAAGACTTTGGTTAACTGAAATTTCTTAGTTAAAAAAATTCGAATTTAACTATGCATGGCTAATTTTAAATCCGTTAGGAAGAAAAATAAGTTGAAAATAGGCCTATCTCTTATCTTGCATATTAAGTTGTATCTCAAACCCAACCAATCAAATGTAGAAATATAAAACTGTGTAATAGCATCATAGATTTCAGCATCTTTTTTTCTTTTTGCGTCATGATCACTATTTGTTCGCAGACCAATAAAACTAAGACTTTTTATACAATTTGTTCGCAGTTTATCTTTAAAAACCACAAAAAGCGCTTTGTGCGTGAAAATTACCGGATGACGCTCGTACCCGATATTTTGTTATCAGATATCTGGTATTGTATTCGGATGATATGATTCTCACGGTTACAGCTGGTGTACGTAGAACAAATATTTCGCCATATGATATTTTTTTCCTCCATACAGTGACAGTTCAAACTCTGTAAAAAATGTTTCGCAATCCTAGCTGCCCGAGAGAAATGGACAAAAAGATTAGAGATGGTTTTTCATTTACTTGCTATAAAGTTAAAACCGAAACTATAATTGCAGCCAGTTCTTATGCGTGGTCTATAAATCATCAGTTGCGAAAACGAATAACTTTTCATATTGCGTTTTCATTGCATAAGATAATTCAGCATTATGAGTAATTGAAATTCCTGTAAGCAAAAAGTTTTAAGATTGGAAATGTTCAAGCAAACGTGGAGTGTGGCTTCAAAATATTTTGTTTAATAAGAAGTAAAACTTACGAAAAGAATGCGGACTAATTTCCAGTCTCACTTAGAAATAATGAATTTATCTAAGCAAATTTCACGTACTCCTGAACATTCTGGTTTTTTATAACAGACTTAAGTGACCTAAGTGATGGCTACGTGTTGCAATTTTACATCCGGAATTTCCTTCTTTCTTCATTTCCAGACTCTGCATCGCATTGCCAACGTCTCAGATTGCATATCAAACTTTAAATATTATACATATGTTGTAGAGATATTAGGTATCTTTGAAGCTGACAGACGTGAAAAATAAGCAATGCCTTCGCCGGGACTCGAATCTAGACCTCTCGAATACTCCGTAAGTGTGCTGACTATTACACCACAAAGGCATGCTAAGAAGGCTGGAGAAATACTTTATATACTCCCCTCCTTTTAAAGGGCGACTAAGTATTAGGGGACCCAATCGCCTAATCCTCGTGATGGAGAATCATCCACCACCTTTTCCAGTTCGGGCGCCACTGTAGAGACATTAGGTATTTTTGAAACTGAGCGACGTGAAAAATGAGCAATACCCTGGCCGGGACTCGAACCTGGACCTCTCGAATACGCGCCAAGTGTGCCGACCATTACACCACGAAGGCATGCTAAGAAGAAGGGAGAAATACTTTATAATGTTACATATACATTTTAAGATATATATGACATTATACATTATATGTCTATTATAAGTATCTACATGGAGATTTCCTCTGCATCAAGCAATATTTTATACCAGCAGCAGCATCTAATCCCATTGGCACATAGCATTAGCCCTGATCAAAGCAAGGAAATTCTACAAATACACTTGAAGCCCTTTAAAAAAAATAAAAATGTACATTTTCTTGAATTCCTAAATAAGTAATCTGTAATTTGTTTTTGTTTTTGTTATGATATAAATCATGTGAAGGCCATCAATAAATAATTTATGTATGTGCGTAGGTAATTAAGAAATGATTAGAACAACCAGTGAGAAACTCTTCCCTAATTTCATAGTCTTGGGAAGGCGGAATAATTCGACCTCAGACTGGTACACTCAAATTTTAACAAAAAGTGGTCTCGAGAAAGACAGCTAAGGCATAGTGGAAATCATGTGACTCAAAAAAGTTGAAAAGAAACAATAAATTTAGGCATTATACTATTAAAACGAAATTAACAGAAATGTTCCTTTAATAATATTTTTAGATATAATAATTTGTACATGATTGGACTTATAAATAACCCATATTTATCAAATCGAGTACTTCCCCAAGTCCTTCCCAAATTTAAATTTGCTATAATTTTAAATGTACTAGAGATATTTAATTGAAAGAAAACTGGCACTGCACAGTAATTTTTGAAATTTTATCTGGCAGCTCTGCGCGCTCCCGTGTGAGGATCTTGTGATTGCTAACGACCACATGATTTCAAGATGGCGTCCTTTCAGAAGAAAGCACTATGGCACGCAGAGTTGAAATCGTGTGTCCTGATGTGCCGAAATTCTTAGATACAGGAACTGGCACTGTTTGCTCTCGAAGTCATCGATTTAAATAACAAAGAGACGAGCGCAAAGAGCAAAGATTAAGCAAACAGACGGTTAATCGAATGGAGGATGACATTACGAGAAACTCCAGGAAAGTAATTTCGAAAGGTCCATGAGGTTGTGTGGGCCGTAATCTATGTTTCATAGGATCATCTGGAACAGCATTCACGTAGAGCTATATAAATTAATGACTGTATCTGGATAAAATGGAATAAAAAATGAGATGAAATTCTGGAGATGATTTTTAGTCGACGGTTAGATGATGATGCACTGCTGGTGAATTTCGAACAACGCGCATTTCCAGCGAAGCGGATCCCTTCTCATTTAGCTATCTCAGTCAGAAATCTCCTAGATCAGGAATTCCGCAGTAAGTGAATTAGACGCTAATGGCCCCTTTATGACCTTCAAGGTACCGAAATCGACTCTATGCCACTTTGTGCTATAGGGATGTATCTTTAGAAGAAATTTTAAATAGAAGTTCTGCAAAAGAAACCAATTTAACCTAGAACGAACAAAATTGTCTCAGTAATTCTTAGAAGTGATACTCTTCCTTCAGAAAAATGATCGATCTAAATCGAATCGAATTTTAGAAATTAGTATTCTTAAAATAGTAATCATTCCTTTTGATTTCTAAGAACTAAATCCTAGAAATGATTTTCTGTTTAGCAAATTTCTGTTGCGTTCGGGGGGGGGTAATGCAGTCTGAAACTTCGTATTATAATTTAATACCTCAAAGAAGAGGCCGTTATCAAAATAACAATATTTTGTTTAATTTACTTTTAAAAAATATGGAAACTGACAACATTTAAAGAAACATTACGACCTAATCTTAGTATTAAAATTCCAGTTAGCATTTGAAACAATTTTAAGTTAAACATTTACGATAAGTTTGCTAATTTAAGTAGAAACATTCCTTTGCAGCAGTCACATTGGCCATCGGGAAAACTTCATACTTCTGTAATTTTCTTTAATAAATTTCCCCACCGGTTAGCAACAGCTTTTAGTTTAATATGCAGAAATTACTATCATTAAATACGGCCTTAAAATTCAATTCATATAAAGCACTCATCACTGCATCATGTTGGCTTATAATAACTTTTTCAGGAACCTTTCTGTTGTTTCTTGCGGATTTTAATATCAATTCATGCTGCTTATTTTCTTTCCAGAGCATTCTGGCAATAGAGAGGGCTGTCACCATATCACATCCAATCTGTTTGAAGAATAAGGTAAATATGGCATTCTGTTAACTAAGTATAACAGTTGTCCTGATTTTCTGCCGTACTGATGGAAGTGGGTAAAAAGTGTTCCACAGAAAAATATTCGATATTTGATAGAAATTATTTCTACGTTTCATGAAATTCATGATTCATAGAAATGAAAAAAATTAAGTTCTTGAGAAAACTTATAAACTTTAGCACATAGATTTATAGAGTGGGTATTTTCACAATTAGAAGTAATTTTTTGAAATTTTATTTCACTTTTTAAAATTTAATATTAAATTATTTTTGAGTAGTTTTTGTATATCTTCGCTTAACTATCGAAGTATTCATCACCTGGTTTCATTGAGAAGATCCGAAATTTCTTCTAAATTGGTATTTAAAATTGAGATAATTCTCACTTTTGATCAATAATTTCGAGAACTGATTTTGATAAATGATGATGAACTGATGAACAGATTTTAATGAAATTTAGTATTAATATAGTTCGATATAATATAAAAAATATACTGTACAACACTCATGATATACATATATGATCGTGTGTAAGACTCGTCGGCGCAGGAAGGTCTGAAAGAAGGGAACCGCAGGAAGGCGCAGGAAGGTTTTAGTATCGAACAAACAGGAGGCTATTAGGGATGTTGTCTTAACAGCCATACGACTTAACTGTTAATTAACATACGACTGTTAAGTCATATGGTTCTGACATAACTTCATTCTGAAAACGGAGCAGCTTATGAGTCGCGGTGGCAATCGATCCCAGTTCAGCTACAGTACTATTATCAGGTCCTGAGGAGGTTCTAGGAGGGAAAGGCGAGTTGCATTTTCCCTATCCAAAAGCGACCCAGAAAGGTAGTTCGGTAGGGCTGGATTTGGAGAGACAGGGACAGACAATTCATCCGGGTAATGTCCTCACATTCCAGAAAATCATCTACCAAATTAACCTTATGTGGACAACTATTTTCGTTCCTAAAATGAACTGCGGGCTAACTGCACTCCTACGTATATTGAATATTCTCTTCATGTTTCAGGTCAGGTAAATCTCCACACCGTCTGAAAAGGAAAATTTGCGTTACGTATCGGAACGTATCAAGGATATTTCTAAACTGAATGTGTTCCTCTAGCGGCAAGATGGTATCTCTTCACATTGGGTAAGATTGTGCAAAAAATTTCATATTAAGAATTTTCAAATAAATGGACTGAACGGAATGATCCTGTTCGTTTGCTTTCTCGATGTCCGAAACCACGCTACTTGATTGTTTCTTTGAGGTTACGTTAAAGACCAAGTTTATTTAACGAAATTCCAAAGTTTTCATGGACGGAAAACTCACATAACTATTGTTGTTGCATATATGAGAGTCCATTTCGAAGCTTATGGAATTAAAGATCTTCACAAGGAATATCGGCAGAGACAGATCCAAAAATGTGCTCCCTATAGGCTCAACCGAATCGCCGCCTTTGTTACATTTCATAGAAAGCTAAACATAAGCAATAAAATAAGGTATAAGAAAGTTGTACAAACGTTTATTAGAATCACATAAGATGCAATAAAAATGTCATTCTAACAGAATATATAAACTCACAAATTATAGTATATTTACGTAATATAAATCTTCAACTAAGTAAAAATCACCCTTCCTTTGGCTCGCATTACACTTTTCGTCTAAATTTATTCTCAACGAAATTTTCAATCACGTCTTCAAATGAAATCGAATTCGCAGTGTCAGATTCAATTGATAAAACTGCTAGATCGTTCAATCTGCTTACGGACGCACTTAAGCGTAAGTATGTTTCAAACCGTTTCAAGCATGAAAATGAGCATTCTGAAAAGCAATTGATTACTGTCATTTATTTGTGAATTTTTAAAACTATATCGATATAAGGCAAAAATATCAAGCAGCTTCTGATCTCTAGTACAGTTTCACACATTGTTGATATTTATATGCTTTTTTCCTCTAGTGCCAAATACTGGATGTGCAAGATATCTTCAACTAGATCGTCCGAAATATCCTGTGAATAAAATTCGCGTAATTTTAACTCTGCACTCTTTATTTCTCCAGCACATAGTTGTGAAATTTAAAGAGAAGGTAGAAATTTTCGACCACTGTCGCACGCACGTTTTTGGAGTCGAATTCCGAATCCACAATTATGACGAATATGTTTATTTTGAAATCCTCCTTAGCACCGAACAGAATATTTTCATTATTGTCGTCTTCTCTTTCTTTTACGCTTTTCGCTTTCAGCATAGTTCTGCTTACCAATCAGAGTCTTAGTCTTCTCTTTACATATTATGAAGTCCTTGGGGAATATGAAATAAATGAAATCAAGGATTAGTACAAATCGACGACCAGCCCAATATTTGGGTCTTCCTGTTGTCGTTTTTCACTGACTACATTGATGCGATTATGAATACTACTCCAGAATACAATGATAAATGCAGTTTCAAAACTGATCATTCTCTTGATTAAATCTGCTGCTTCTGCCTTCGTAATTTTTTTTCTCTGAGTTGTTATTTGAGACTGATTTAAGAGAATCGTGAAAATCTTTCCAAGAATTCAATAAACCTTTGAAGGCATTATCTCTGCATGACCATCTCGTGGACACCAGACTCTTTAGTGCTATTTGTACATCGTTCTTCTTCAGTTTCTTTGAACGCATTATGGATACCGAAAAAAAGTTATAGAGTTCATGCAAAAATGTAAACTTATTACATTTTTGCATGAATTTTAACTCTGCTCTCTTATGAATTTTAACTCTGCAAGCCACCGAAGTTCCAACTAGATTAAAAAAAATGGGCTGGACGGGGTAAAAATTCCCCAAATTTCTTTACATTCTCAATTCCTGCTTGAAGGCCGGTATAGACCGCTGGCATGTTCACAGCATTATCGTATGACTGGCCTCTACAGTCGTCTAAATTAATTTCAAGGGATGCCAAGGTGTTAGTTATAACAGTGTAAAATTCCTCGCATTTAAGTCCAGTATTTGGTACAAATGTAGTAATATCTCTGTTGGTGTTCCACATTAGTGGACATACCTCAGTCAATAAGTGATAATCGATAACTGATAACAACAGACAATCGATCATTGTCGATAATCGATAGTATGCGAGAATCCACAGCTATGAAGAAATATTTAGCTGCCCCTCATAAGCAGACATATTTGCTGTGCATCTAAGGCATTATATGTGCTACTTCTTTGTATGCAGTAGGCGAAAGATAATTTGTTTTATAACTACCCAGTCTTCCATAATTCTTTAGATGCTCCTTCAAGAATGAATCAATTTCGGCCAGTAGTTCCATGCCATTAAAAAGTTTCCATTATGACATGATCTCCACGAACTTCCTCAGAAATTCTCAACGGAAGACAATCGTAACTTTCTTACGATGACGATAGCGTGTTGCAAAACTTCCGTTCAATTATGTTTTTCTTGATCAGTCTCTGCATTTAGTACATTGCTTAACTTCCTATTGGAAAGCCTTGCCCTGGAAGCAACCGCAGAATTTTTATGATTTATAGATCGGTCGTGCTGTTCCACGCATTATTTCAGGTTTTTCCAATCATTTAATCCTTTATCTGTGTAAAAGCATGTACCTGCGTTGGATAATAAACGACAAGGCCCACAATAAATAATACTATTTATTTCAGAATAAATTATCCATTGTCGGTTTGAAACTTCACCATTACGAAGCTTTGAAGACTGTTGAACTCAAAAGACGTGCTTTGATCTTCACAGACTCGTCTTGAAGTCTGAAAATCAGCAACTGCATTTTGCGAGTAGCCATTTCGCGAAAAAAAAAAAAAAAAAAACTATGAATTCATCATTAATAATCCGCTTTGCAGGGTCTTTGTCAAATTTGAAAGATAGAAATGATAATAACTGTAACATTGGTTGATCTTTCATCTCCTCTTATTCATCACAGTTTTCTGTAATATATTAATCTTCTCACAAGGCCGAACGAACACTAGTCTCCTTTTGTATACTGGGTACATTACCTTTGAATTCTTCAATCGGACATTGCGTAATACCTTAGGTGACGAAAGAATCACTTTTTTAGTTCTCTCTAAGATTTCCTTTTTAGTTCTCTAAGATTTTTCTTCGTTTCTCCTCTGACTTTTTTTGTGTTCCCATTCTCCTACATGCTTTTTACTATCTGCCATTTATACGTATTAAGTCTGTAAGATAGGAAAGAAAGAAAACAAATCATATGTAATAAAATTGTAGGCTGTTTTGAATATATTTTAACATTTCTATGATTCCAGTTGAACTCTGAATTACGAACACAGGCTGATAATCATATAAAACTGTGTAAATAAGAAGAAAAACCTATCAACTTTCAACGTCGAAAGAATTGCCCCTAATGAAGCAGTTTTCCAGAAGAAAATACGCTCTTACAATACTTGAGATAAATGAAAGAAGTTGATAATAAAAAATAATCCAAAAACCTGCGGCAAAACATTACTTCTAATCATTATAATATAATTTTGCAGGGCAATAATTTAATAATCGTATACTGTAGAATGAGGCGGCCTGCGCTGCCTTTTACCGCCGTGTGTGCTCCTGTTCTGCGGTGAATTTTGAAACAAAGAGAGAAAATATTATATCATGTGATGTGTAGAGAGGGACGATTGGTCGGCGCTGAGTAATGGGGCACCGTATGACCCGTTACTCAGAATCGAGTAGAGAGGTAAGAAATTTTGCTGATATTCCCTTTTTAGAGCTGCAGTAAAGGTAAAAGTTTACAATTGGGTCCCCTTGTTTTTTTGGCGATTCTTTTTTGAAGCCAAAATCGGCGCCAGGAAGGCACAATTTCAAGACGGCTGCTACACAAAACTAAAATAACAAGTCAAAGAATTGCACAAACTTTGTATTCATGTACACATCGATCTATTTTGACTTAAAAAAACATCAGAGAACTGCGCAAGCTAGGCATTGCGCACTGCCTTAACTTTCTCCATGTACACATCAATCTATTTTCATTAAAAAAAATCAGGTTCATGGTAACCAGAAATGAGGTTTCATCGCCAAAATTTAACAAAATTTGTCGCTAGTCGAAGAGGCACCCAATTCTACACTAGAGCTTCAGTAAATTTCCGCCTTCGAAAATTCGTTACCGTAGGCGGACTACCTATCCTATTTAAGAATCCTCAACTGAATATTGGCTGCATTTTCCGTAAGATTCGAAAGAAATTATCAGTTAGTCAAGTCGTACATTGAAATGCACTGGCTATGGGGTTAACGTCCAAGGTCACTTCTGAATTCTGACATCGATACGGGCCCATTGGTTGTATAGCTTTAGTTCAAGGACTTTTTTTTGAGAATAATGAATTTTTCGGTATGATTTCTGGAAAGAGATAAGCACGAATGACTTTTACTGAGTTAATTTTTTGTAAAGTAGCAAGAAATGACTGTTGAATGAACTGACTGACAACAAGACATAAGCTTTACTTGCAGCACTGAATGTTCGAGAATTACTGTATAAATATAAATTGTTAAACCTAGTATCAATTATTTCCCAAACACGCAAAAGTCAAAATACTATCAGAAATGGAATTACGATATGTTTAAGCCCTGCTGCCAAGCCGTGCTAGTTAAATACTAGTCTGAAAGGAGGTGTGGCTTATCAATAGCCAACAATAACTGCAGTTTTGCTACACTGGTTTCCAAAAATTAAGAAAAAGTCACAAAAATAGCGATACTCATTCAAAAATAAACAATTCCATATAAAATTTGAATACTTGTATGTTTGTCAAATAAGAATTGTTGAGTAAAACTGCAGTATTCAAATTAGTGGCACAGCAATCTAAATGCGCCATTTGCAAGGAGCATAAATTGCAAGTTTGAGACCAAGCCCGCAAATTTCGATGTGATACTGAGATAAGAAACTAGTATAGCTAATTCGTGACAATGACCTCCAGGCATCATTTGGTCGAAGGACTGCGATGGAGAGTTATTGGAAGAATAGAGGCAGGACAACGTCAGATAGAAGTGGTCAGATGTCTAAATACAAGTCCTTCTGTGGTTCATAGACTTAAAAAACAAATTCTAACCACACATATGGCTCCCAGGAGGTTCAGCCAAGGATGGCCAGCCACTACGACGACCGCTGATGGCCGATATTGGTTGTTATGCGCCCTAAGGAATAGAACCTCA